CTGTTCCACCTTAACTGGTGCAGCAGTTACATTCTGGAGCCTGAAGCTGCAACATTTAAGGTGGAACGGGAAAATTTGAACAAGAAGCTGGCGAATAGGAAGCTCACTTCAGCTTTGTGTAAGAAGGTGCTAAGGATAATCCATTATGAATATCTACACGGATTAAGAAATGCTAGGCTATAACTTATCACTACAAGCTTTAACCATCACTGTAAATAAATAACTACTACATAAAGTTAAGATCCTGAATAGACTATTAAATGAAATGAGCTTAATATAAAACCAGAGGAAAAACAATCACATCAGCAGGTTCTCTGTGCCTCATTAACCACACGACCATATCTACATAATCACTGCGTTCCCTCTTTTGTATAATCCTATCCCACTTTCTGAGTGTGATATTCCTGAAATAGTGTAATTTTGGACAGGATCTTTCTTAAACTGCCGCTCTGTAATGGTACTGAATGCAGTCCAGCAGCGATGTTGACCTCTCCAAAATGGCGGCGCCATTGATGTGTCTGACGAGACCCAACACGGCATGTAGGTATGTGTATCTGTGAGCTGTACAATGACATGTTAGCAACTGTCCATTTTAAAGTATTGCCTACTGGCAAACTGACTTAATTGCATGTATTTTTATAACTTGAAAAAACACTGCTTGTTTCAGTACATTTGGCTTGCAGTGCATGTTGGGGTATGTATTCTAAGATCGTTGCAGTATAAGAGAGTTATACTAAACTTGAAGGGGAATTCCACCATTTTAAAAAAAAATCCCCTGTAAAGGTTGAGATGTAATCAGAGAGATTCAGAGTGGTTTGGTGTGAAATGGTTCAGATGTCTTTACAGTGGTGGTGATAGGAACCAGGGGTCGCCATGACTACAACACAAATATAGACATTTTATTTACTATCCAGAACCACCAGTGAACCTACACGAGTCTTCTGAGTTTATATGGAATGTTGATGATGGAAAATAGTGGAAAATCTGAAATAATAAGTTTTCTTTGGGGACTATTTTGCCTCACAGCGCCCTGCATGTATCCCTCCACCATGAATGGAGCTTTTAGAGGTGGACGTCTGGTTCCTATCACCACCACTGTGAACAGTTCTGACTCTGTAAGTTTCTCAAGAACAGAGCGTTTCACACCAAACCACTCTGAATGACTCTGTTTACATCGTAATCGTTTAATTATGCAGAAACTTTGAAAAATTCCCGTTAGATGTGCCCTGTTTTTATGATTCAGCTCTGTAGACTGAGCTGTCTGGCTTATTTAGGCTCTCTGGTGTTTGCTCTGCCCTCAGAATCAGGGCGTGTGTGCTGTGGTCAGACTGTTTGCGTGTTTGTGCTGTAAAGATGAACTGTAGTCTCATCAGTTATTGATAGATTGACTCTTAATCATCTTTAGAACATGAAAATAGTGTTTTTTACTCTTATTTAAAAGATGTACAAGGAAGGTCTCTTAGTGCAGGTGTCAACATACATTACAATAAAATAAAAATCTGCAAAAACATTTAACACCTAGATAAAACCAATGCAAATATTTTTAAAACATCAAAACAATGTATAAACATAGCCTAAAAGATATCCATTAGACGGTAATAGATAATCCACTTGCATAAGGAAGCAGAATGTGAAAGGAGGACGAGTGGAAAAAGCAGGAGATCAAAACATAATTAGAAGTTCCAGAGAAAATGTGGCTCCTAACAACCACCTGGAAGACCTGGTCGACCCCAAAACTGCTCCATCAGATAAACAGCACTTAAAGCTTTCATCTCTGAGAGAGAGGAGAAAATCAAGCTGCTTCAGATCTGAAAACATCCACAGGTGTTTCTGTCCATCCTTCCACTGTGAGAAGACGACTCAGCGCTGTGGGTCTGAAAGGATGTGTAGCTGTCAAGAAGAACCTCACTGAGAAAAGGAGACAGACACATCAAACAAAGAAGCTGAACGATGGACTGACCACCCCAGAGTCCAGACCTCAACACCACTGAATGTGTTTGATTACTTCAGAAAATCATCAACCAGCTTCTAAGACTGAACTTTGGAGGTGTGTCTGCAGATTCTTTGAGGAACTGAAAGTGAGTCTCCTGAAAAGAATGGAAGCTGGAATAAAGGGAGAGAGTGACTCACTGACTCACACAGCTGAGAGTAGAGTTAGCTGATGAGGCCTCTGGGTAACTTTCTGTTAAATATGTGTTTTCTGTTTTTTTCTGATGCTAAAAATGAATAACTTCTACTCAATAACTGCCTTGACTGGAAATTAAATGAATGAAAGTGATCTCTGACCTTTGCACAGTGCTTTCTGTATATATATATATATATATATGCTGTTGGAACAAAACCTTGTATCTCCAAGAAGTAAATTTACAGGAGAAGGAAAAACATTCTTAACTTTTAATGGAAGTAAATGGAGTAATATTTTTTCCCAAGTGATTTTAGACCATTTCTGTTGGTCTGTTCATCATAAAATTTTGACACAACATTAAGGGCAGCTGCCTTTTTCAAATTATGTCAAAAAATTAAAAATGACAATATACGTTTTTCAGATTTTGTCCCAACAGCAACAATATATGTATAAAATGGCAAAACATTAATCTTTTAATGGTCTTAAAAACAAATATTTAAACAAATAAAGTAAGTTGATATGTGAGAGCTTTTCCATTTGATTTCTTTAGATGTTGTAGTTTAGTGTGTGAATGTTCAGATAGTCGTTTACAGAGAGAAGAGTCAGTATTGATCCACTCAGCACTGACGGCTTCACACAGCTGGAAAACATTGCTGAGCTGGTTTGAGCTTAATGTGAGATCAAATATTCTCTATAAGGTTTAAATCTGGACTCTGACCAACCAGAAACAGCAGAAACAACAATTAGATCTCCAAAATGAAAACATTCATATATTCATTCATTCATATGAAATATTTACAGCATGTCAGGAGCACAAATTATGTCAAATTAAACATACACTGAATACCTAAAAGTCTGTAAACTCCAGAGTTTCTTCTGAAATTAAGGTGTTATTAGTGAGTCTGTGCTGCAGTAACAGCCTCTACTCTTCTGGAAGGCTTCTAGATGTTGGAACATTGCTGTGAGGATTTGATTGAGCATTAGTGAGGTCAGGTACTGATGTTGGATGGTCAGGTCTGGGTCACTCCAACTCATCCCAAAAGTATTGGATGGAGCTCCATCACTCCAGAGAACACGGTTCCACTGCTCCACAGCCCAATGCTGGGGGGCTTTATACCCCTCTAGCCCACGCTTGGCATTGGACATGGAGACCTTAGGGTCATGTGACCTCAGTCTGCTCCATTCTATTGGTCAGTGCTTTTCTATGGAGATTATCCAAGCTGTGTCTGCAATGGGTGACCTTAAAGTAGCTGAAATCAGTCATCAGACGGACTGTCCGAGTACTTTTGGACAGACAGTGTATAAGTTGGTAGCAGGGTGTATATATTATGTGCATTTTTTATTTTAAACTGGTAAATAGACTGTAAATAGGGAAGCGACTGCCAGAAAGTCCAAGCGTCTGCACTTGAACACATCTGCTGAAGCCATCAGCGGCCTGAGTGCTTATGGAGAAAGAATAACACACAAGGAGGAATATCAGAGAACGTCAGACAGAACAACGGTTCCCTCCTAGATTCTGCGTGCCAGGCCACATATCAGTCTCCCACCTTCTTTTCAAAGAGGGAGAGACTTTACTTTGATATGCTGATCCAGTTCAGTTCCAGTTCCAGTTTGTTTTGTAGTGTTGGAAACCGCCTGTGATTCTGTTATGTTGTGAAATTTCACTTGTATTTTATGATGCAGTCATAAAATATCTGCACACATGATATTACCATGAGATAGAGGACGGTATGTCTATATTACTATTTCATTCTTGTTTTGTTTTTAGTTGAAATTGTCATTGTGTATCCATTTACAGCCGCACCTAACTACTAAGAGTGAGGTTAGCTATCACTCTAAAAGGGGAACTCCACAGATTTTTTAAAATTCTACTTAATTAAATGATTGAGATGTAAACAAAGCCACTCAGAGTAGTTTGACATGAAATGCTCCATTTTAGAGAAACTTGCCGAGTCAGAACTGTTCACAGTGGTGGTGATAGGAACCAGACGTCCACCTCTAAAAGCTCCCTCACAGAAAGTTCCTACATGACATGGTTATGAATTCACTGCCTGATGACTGAGATGTCGTTTTACCACTCTACCAATCTATATGTTTTCACCATACACACCATTTAAATTCCCCAATTTTTAAAAATTTCCCCATAATTGAGTGTTAACACAGAGTGATTCAGAGGGGTTTGGTGTGAAATGGTTCAGGTGTCTTTACAGTGGTGGTGATAGGAACCAGGGGTCGCCATGACTACAACACAAATATAGACATTTTATTTACTATCCAGAACCACCAGTGAACCTACACGAGTCTTCTGAGTTTATATGGAATGTTGATGATGGAAAATAGTGGAAAATCTGAAATAATACGTTTTCTTTGGGGACTATTTTGCCTCACAGCGCCCTGCATGTATCCCTCCACCATGAATGGATGAAAGTGAATGGATTAAAATACATTTTAAGCCAAACCTTTCTCACAAAACGATCATAAAACAGTGTCTCAGTCATCAGGCAGTGAATTCATAACCATTTCATGTAGTAACTTTCTGTGAGGGAGCTTTTAGAGGTGGACGTCTGGTTCCTATCACCACCACTGTGAACAGTTCTGACTCTGTAAGTTTCTCTAGAACAGAGTGTTTCACACCAAACCACTCTGAACCACTCTGAACCACTCTGATTACATCTTAACCACTTAATTATGCATAAATTTTGAACATTTGTTGGAGTTCCCCTTTAAAGTACACTAGCCTACCTTTTGTTTCTTCCATTTACTTTTTCCTGTGTTTCCTTCAGGGAGACTTGTTCAGTTTTTCCTCTCTCTCTCTCTCTCCATCTCTCTCTCTCTCTCTCTCCATCTCTCTCTCTCTCTCTCTCTCTCTCTCTAGAGTGCCTAAACTGCACAAATCAGTCTGAAATCAGTGAACGGCTGAACAACATTGAATTCAAGGTGAGAAGAAGATTTAAAGTCATGCTTCGATTAAAATAACTCCCACCCACCCCCGCCACCCCTTACCCCATCTTCTATAGTATAGGAGCTATTTTAGGAGCTAATTTAGCTAACAAATAATGAGAACTCACACACAGATATTTAGCATCATGCTAACTGCATGCCTTCCGGTCATCACATGTTCGTCTCCAACTGTGTGGAGCTGAATAGACTTGATTATGTGGTTTCAGTGTGTGAACTGTGGCTGTCAGAGCTATTAAAACCTCCAACAACAAGGGAAACCACACATGCAATGATGCTAGTTTTTGTTAGCGTCCTTCTATGATTTCTAATAGTATCCTAATACTAAGCTAACACTGGTGCACATATGTTTATTTTGGCTTTCTAGATTAAATCCAGACATTAGAAGCCTGTAAAAGTAATTCCATGTGTTTTAACTGAATCTTGTATCAGTCATTATCAGATATCTGATCTTGTGTCTATCAGTTTTACAGAGACTCTCTCAGTAAAGAGTTCTGACACAGAGCTGCTGCCACTGTTTAACATTCCTAACAACTAACCAGAACCTGCTTAGACTACGACTCGTATTCACAGTCAGTGATGTATCTAGAACTTCCAGAAGGACTGCAGTGACATATTTTGGTTCCACTCATTGGAAATCAAAGCATGATTGGTTCACTTCCTAATTATGTTGGTAGTTAATCCAATGTATAAGGCCTTCTTCAGTCCAGCTCCTGAAGTTCTAACCAATGGGAGAGCAGCTCAGCTTGGAGTTTAAAGACAATAAGGCTGAGGGTTCTGTTCAATTTAAATGAACTAAAAATCACAGGCTAATGGACTTTTAGTTCCCATAGAATTGTGTTGTTTCAGCAAAGTATATATCTTTCACTGAAACAACACAACACAAGTATATATATATATATATATATATATATATATATATATATATATATATATATATATATACACATACATGTGTGTGTGTGTGTGTGTGTGTGTGTATTATTTGGTTGCCATGGTAATGACTGGACTCTTTCTCTCTGTATATTGTAGGTGAAGTCACTCAGAGACACCAAAGCCCCTCCTCTCCCATCAATCAGCCAATCAGCTGAGAGATCCATGCATAATGAAGTGGACAAGTTCCACCCCTCACCTTTCACACCTGATTCTATTGGACAGCCAGGTGAGTTTGGCTTTTCCTCAGGCTGGTCACTACATGGTACTATTGGGACGGGATTAATTTTACATGAGGAGGTGGGTGACGCAAAGTTTATGACCGATTTACACAGGATAAGAAATCTTGGTAACACTTTACTGTAGGGTTCTGTTCATAAGGCTATGACATAATGACACCTACATAATGACAACTGAGATACACCTGCATAAATTTAATTTAATCATGCAGATGGTTCTTTGAGTGTTCATGGTTCTCTGTAGAACCCTTGAGGAACTACCTTTTTTCAGTTTTTTTGTGCTCTAAACATTTGTAGCTTTTTAGCTGCTTATTAAAAAGTTTATTAAAAACGACCTAAAAGTTATTTGTTCTATTTAGATTTTAGTTATTATACATTTTGTTTTATATTATTTAATTTAAGCTTGTGGTATTTGTACATTGTGAAGTATTTGAGGTGTATTTATAAAAAGATCATTATTAGTGAGAATAATAACATTAATAATATACATTTAATGTTATTATTATTATTATTATTACTATAGTTATTATTTCTGATGATCCTGTGTTGGCAGTGCTGCGGGGCCCCCCGGGGCCAGCAGGGCCCCCTGGAGCAACTGGACCCCCGGGCCCTGCAGGAGAGCCAGGTCTCAGAGGGAAATTAGGCCCTGCAGGACCCCAAGGTCAAATCTGTGTGTTTACAATCACTGTTCCTTAATTCTGTTTCAAACGAGCTGTGAGTTAACATGGTGTGTTTATGTAATGGCCCCCCAGGAGAGAGAGGACCACCCGGACCACCGAGTCGCTTCCCCTTCTCTGTTAGAGGAGATGTGTTCACACTGACCGCCAGACAGAATGGACAGTGTGAGTACTCACTCACGCACACATACATGTAATGTGAACTAAGTGGGTCCATTCATTATTTTAGAACTAATATTGGGGTGGAAATATTTCATTACAGTTCTGAAGTATTATTTTGGAAGATCTGTACTTTACTCAAGTATTATTGTATTATTGACCAATTACATTTAAACCTCCAAAATACTCAAATCTCAAAGGCCAGAAACTTTTTATCTTTATTTTGTTTTTTGCTTGCCAACCATTTGGATTAATTCATATTATTATATTTATACACTTACCAAGTGCTTTTTAGGAACACCTCCTTGTTTCTACACCCATTGTCCATTTTATCAGCTCCACTGACCATATAGTTTCACTCTGTAGCTCTACAGTTACAGACTGTAGTCCATCTGTTTCTCTGCATACTTTGTTAGCCCCCTTTTACCCTGTTCTTCAGGACCCCCATAGACCCTCACAGAGCAGGTACTATTTGGGTGGTGGGTCATTCTCAGCACTGCAGTGACACTGACGTGGTGGTGGTGCGTTTTGGTGTAAAATGGTTGATTGTAGAGACTCAGAGGTCTTTACAGTGGTGGTGATAGGAACCAGGGGTCGCCATGACTACAACACAAATATAGACATTTTATTTACTATCCAGAACCACCAGTGAACCTACACGAGTCTTCTGAGTTTATATGGAATGTTGATGATGGAAAATAGTGGAAAATCTGAAATAATAAGTTTGCATCATTTATTATTTATTTATTATGATTCCTCTACCATGAGTGGAGTTTAAATATACGTTTTACGTGTGTGTGTGTGATATCATATAGATGATGATGGCTCCTTCTCGGATCGTTTTGGCGGCAGAGTGTTGCTCAGTCCCCCAGGACCATCTGGACCTCCAGGACCTCCAGGTACAGCAGTGATACACACCTAACAGTGCTCAACTAAAGTCACACCCACACCTTCACACAGTGTGTACTATTCTCTCACCGCACTCACACAGCGTTTACAGCAATGCGGAACTTTCAGGACCTTCTTAGCGTTTATAGAAGGTCTAATGATTTCTGAGAACAGCTGTAATTTTTAGCCCATTTTATTTAATAGAATCATCGTATTTGTTGTGTTTAAATTCTGCAAGTATTGTAGTAACACTCTTATTTCATTGTTAACTTTTGGTCAGAAACAAAAGGGTTAAATTCTCCATTCAAGAATCAGATTGTTCTCTCTGTGGTGTCCAGGTAGACACAGCTGAGCTGCTGATTGCCTTACACATTAGATTAATTACCAACATAATTAGGAAGTGAACCAATCAAATTCTGACCATTTTCACACTAGTCAGTCTGGACGTTCTAGATACGTCATTGACTGTGATTCGAGTCGTAATCTAAGCAGGTTCTGTTTAGTTGTTAGGAATGTAAAACAGTGGCGGCAGCTCTGTGCAGGACACTTTACTGAAGGAGTCTCTGTAACACTGATACACACAAGATCAGATATCTGATAATGTCTATATAAGCTTCAGATAAAACACATAGAACGTCTTTACAAGCTTCAAATGTCTGTGTCTAATCTAGAACGGCCAAGAAATGCTAATGTGCGCCAGTTTTTAGCTTAGTGCTAGCATACTATTAGAAATCCCATAGGGGCGCTAGCAGAAATTAGCATTATTGTAGTTATGAGTTTTTTCTCTTTTTTCATTTATGGCCCAGTTTCGATATTTGTGTCCTGAAATGAAGGTCTAGCCCTGATAGTCATGGTCTGCCACTGGTTTGTGCTGTCTGTCAAAAGTTTAGGGACACCTTGCCTTATTTTGAAATTAGAATTTTCTCACTGTCACTTTTTAATAAGTGCAAAAGTTTAGTACAGTCAATAACCATGATCACTTATTGATCATTTACAGTAAGATAAAGTGACAGTGCAGTGCAATGTGGGTATTTTAAAGCAATTTGATCTCACTGTGGTCTCTTTTCTCCATCTTTAAAACCTCTCAGGACCTGCAGGACCACCAGGACGCCCTGGTGCTCCAGGACAAAAGGTAGGATAAACACTTAAAGTCACATATTTAAAGGAATATTCCAACATTTTTAATGAATAAATAATTAAAAGGCCCATGTCATTACAAAAACAAAGTACACACTGGTAAAATTTCAAAGCGTGCTGTTCACTCCCCGGTCCATACAGTTCACATACGACAATTTTTGAATTCTTTGTTTTTGTGATGTCACAAAAAACAATACATTTCAACATATCCGTCTGTTCAGCCAACAGCAGTTTAGCCCCGCCCACTCACACTAAAGTTATAAGGAGTGTTTCAGCATGGACGGCTTTGTGAGTAAGACACAGCCAATCAAAACTGAGCTCTTTTACATATAAAAGTCTTAAAGGCACAGTAACAAAAACAGCCTGTTTAATTTTAAGGGATAAAGAGAGGTTGTAAAAAAAATGTAAAAAAAAATAATAAATAAAATGTAACTGTTTTTTGGTACCTAAAACCACATAAGTGGTTATTATAATCATAAGATAACAGTACAAATAAATAATAAATAAATAAAATAATCAATAAATAATAATAATAATAATGAAATAGTAAATAATAAATAATTAATTTAAATAATTATAAATAATTATGCAATAAATAAATAAATAAATAAATAATACAAATAAAAATAATAATAGTGGTTTATAGTAATAAGAATAAATTACAAGAAGGGGTCAGAGGAACTAGGAGGAGTAAAGATTTGCTCCATATGATGTGCATATAGAATATAATCTCTTACTGGGGTTATTGGTGTAGTTAATTGTGTATGAAAGGAAAAGCATGCAGTGTTGATTTATTCTGTTCGTGCTGTAGGGGGCGTCAGGCTTCTCGGGACATCCAGGCCTTAAGGGCTCCAAGGGAGACAATGGAGAACAGGTAAGAGCTTCAGATAAACACTACATAAAGCTACATAAAGCTCACAACGCTCACAAACCTCAATGATCAGACCTTTTGAATGTTATTGCTTATGATGTCATCTAACTGTGTTTTGTTTCTAGGGGCCTCCAGGGGGCGCTGGAAGGCCAGGCAGGCCGGTGAGTGGACACTGAGGGCTCAAACTACATATTATCTTCATATTCTCTGCTGTTCTTGTGTGAAACTTCATGATATTGTGTGTGTTCATATGTTCAGGGCACTCCTGGTCTGAAGGGCGACCCGGGTGAGAGTAACACAGAGGTGAGGAAATGAAAACAGCTTTATTTAGTGTTTGAATAGTGTCAGCTTGACTCATTTCAGCTCTCTCAGAGGAGAAGTTCTCACTATGTTTGTGAAATCTGTGCGCATGTCCTGCAGGTGCAGCAGCTGAAGGTGGCGCTGAAGATCCTGGCTGAGAGGGTTCTGATCCTGGAGCACATGATCGGAGTTCACGGTCAGATATGAGCTGAGTTTGAGGTTTAGAGGGAGCAGAGCTGGAGTGGTCGAGTCCAGACGCAAGATGTTTTTTCTCTTGTCTTCATAGTATTTATACTCAGACTCGTTCTGGGTAGTATTTGTACTCTGACTCGTATTGTTCTCAATAGTATTTGTATTTGGACTCGTCTTGGACTCGATAGTATTTGTACTCAGACTTGTATTGAACTGAGTAGTTTATGTATTCAGACTTGTTGTGGTCTCGATAGTATTTGTGCTCTGACTCATTTCGGTTTCGATAGTATTTGTGCTCGGACTCATCTTGTTCTGGAAAGTATTTGTAGTGAGACTTGCCTTGGTCTTGATGGTATTTGTGCTCTGACTGCCTCGATCTTCATAGTATTTGTACTCAGACTCGTCTTGGACTCTGTAGTATTTGTACTGTGAGTTATTTTGGGCTTGATAGTATTTGTACTCTGACTTGCCTCTGTGTCTTGCCTCTGACTTGCCTCTGTGTCAATAGTATTTGTGCCCTGACTCACCTCGGTCTTGAGAGTATTTGTACTCAGACTTGTCTTGGACTCTATAGTATTTGTACTCTGTCTTGCCTCGGTCTTGATAGTATTTGCGCTCTGACTCACCTCGGTCTTGAGAGTATTTGTACTCTCGCTCGTCTTATTTTCTGACTCAAGTTTATAGTTGAACCAATATTTGTGTGATCGTACTGAGGATCTGTGACAAAACTCATTTTTTGCTGTTTCTCGTTGTTTCTGCAGACTCTGATCTGGAGTCAGGCTCTGGAATCGACCTGTTCATGAACAGAGTGCCCACTGCTAAAGCTACAACCTCTGAACAGGACGAGTCCGCTTTAATCTCCAACAGTGCCCAGTTCAGAGTGAGGAGGGCGCAGTAAACAGCCATGGCCAGCAGGTGGCACCTCATCCCCTTAATCTACACTGAAAAATGTGGTGCATTGAATACAGCATTGAATAAAATCCAATAAAACGAGTTACATCAGCTCAGTTATTGCTAAAAGTATGTAAACGAAGAGCTGGCTACAATAAACAAGCGGTCATATCTACCAAAGGGGATGTTACTAAGTACTGATTAATAGGGTGTCCAAACTTTTGCCTCGCCACAAAGGCTATTGTAGTTTTTCTTTTCATGTTAATAAAACTGAAAGTAACTATGCATCTTAAAATGTTCCATTTAAAATAGTTTATTACAGTTTGTGTTTCTTTCTTTTCATTTAAAAAATCAACAAATTATGTCTTTTTTCGAGGAATGCCCAAAATTTTGCATACAGATTTAAATGTGCTCATTTCTCATATGATGAATTTCCATAAATGGCTCATTTTTTGCATTTTATAGAGCAGTTTTATATTGTGTTTTACTGAAGTGAGAATATTGTGTAGTGCTGATGTTCCTCACTGATATTTCAGCTTTTTCAAAACTAAAACTTTTTTAAAAAGACTAACTATACAACACTATACTGGTTGAAGATCAACATAAAAGTGTTTATTTTCTCCTCGAGGGAATCAGTTTACAGTAGCATGCTTGTTTCATAAATTAAATGAGTTGGAGTTCTTCATGAACTGCTGTGTGCAGTTGTCAGCATTAACCGTGATGAAGTCAAATTCAATGTGAAAGCTTTTTATTTTCATTATTTTTGTTTATTGCTGTTTCATTAGATTGTTAGATATATATTTTAAACCTGAATAAGGGCTTTGGGCTTTACCATGTGTTTATTATTTTCATTATTTGTGCTTGCATTGCCTATTCATCATATTATTAGCTGTATTATTAGGTAATTCATTGGCAATGGCCCTGCAACACCTTAGCAACCACCTGGAATAACATAGCAATGGTCTAGTAACACCTCAGCAACCATCTAGGATGCCATAGCAACGGCCCAGCAACAACATTAGCAACCACCTGGGATAGCATAGCAAAACCCTAGCATCACCTTAGCAACCACCTGGGATAACATAGCAAAACCCCAGCAAAACCTCAGCAACCATTTGGGATGCCATAGCAATGGCCTAGCAACAACCTAGCAATCACCTGGGATAACATAGCAGAACCCTAGTAACACCTTAGCAACTACCTGGCATAATATAGCAACAGCCTAGCAACACCTTAGCAGCCACCTGGGATAATATAGCAAAACCCTAGCAACACCTTAGCAAACACCTGGGATAATATAGCAACAGTCTAGCAACACTTTAACAACTCCCTGGGATACCATAGCAACAGCCTAACAACATCTTAGCAACCACCTGGGATACTATAGCATCACTCTAACAACTACCTGGGTTTTTAGATCAGCAGCTCTGCTGAACTGTAAGTTCCGCCCACTTCTGTTTATTTTTTTTATCAGGCCTCTGAATAAAGGCTTAGAGCCATTTCTATGTAGGTATTATAAATGAAATATGTAAACAAATTGTATTATTTTTATTGTTTGTTTTTTTAATTGCTATTCCAGTGTATTATTAGATCATATTTGGTTAATACTTTTATTCATAACAATAACATTAATGACTTTTCCATAACAAAGTTAAGTAAACATTATACATCAGTTCAGTTCAGCTCAGTCTGATTGGTTGAGAAGCGTTTATTGTTATTTGTGAAATAATTTTTCCCCCCACAATGCCGTTATCATTCTCCTGAGCACTGGTTGCTAAGTAACTACTGCTCACTGTTATTAAGGCTACGTTCACATTGCCAGGCTGAAGTGGCACAAATCTGATTTTTTGCCCTAATCTGACTCAGATCTGATGTTTTCAGAGCTGTGTGGACGCAAATCTGATCTTTTCAAATCCAACATGAGCCACTTTCATATGTGGTCCTAGATCGGATACGTATCCGATTCGTGGCCATGTGACCTTAATGTGACGCTCAGAACAGAATTCATGTGCTTTTTCTCCACTGCACTGCGCCATCATTCAGCGTTACCATGGCAACGGCGCTGAACAGAAGGTAAAGCCTGTAAACGGTGGAAAAGCAGCTCATCTCACCTTTTTCTCCTTCGTCTCGCTCTAATAATGAAGCTGAGAGCTGATCAGAGTTAATTATCTTCTCAGCGAAGCTCGTTCTGCTCGTTAGTTTGTGCTGATGATGAACGTGATTCATTCATGTGACGTTACTGAGTAGGATGAGCTCATGAGGGTCATTTCAGGACGCCGGTTCGTCACATTAATGACAGATTTGAGTCACTGACCTGAACGAGTGTGAACCATCCTGTCAGAGAGATCAGATTTGAGCTACGAGGCTTGTAATGTGAACGTAGCTTAAGTTTCTACTTTAATGGACACATTGAATGACTTCTGTACGATAATATTTGACCTGCAGCCCATTTTGTCAGATTCTGAAGAAGCAGTTGAGCGCAGGACTCCATCAACCTGTCGATGATCCTAAGCGAACTTTCAGCTGAACAAACTGGAATCAGCCAGAAACCAAACGAATACGATTCAGCAGACGAGACGGGCTGTGAAACGCTTTACAGACTGACTGGAACAAAACCAGCTTCAGCTTCATCTGGAAACACTGAGAAAGCTCAACCTGATATTCACTCAGCTTGATGGCTCTGTAACACTAAAGGGGACTACTTTTTCTGGCGGAAGGATTTGCCAATATTAAAGCACATTAGATACAGTGTTCAGGGCTTCTTTACTTTTGTTCTTTGTTTTCCAAACCTGTTCTATAAAAGCTGATGATTCAATGTCAGTAAATGTTTTATCAGCTGTTCTTCTGTAAGTAAGTCTCTAGCAGTTAACTTTTTTTTAACCACGGCCCATTAGGGGCTCCGTACTTTGGCAGGACGCGAAGCGTCCCTGATAAAATTGCAGTAATGCAGTGACTTATTGCTTTTCTGAACTGGCGGCCAACATAAAACATGATAAAAATGCATGGCTCTCGTGGCTTACTGCTTTATTCTCACACCAATTTACTGAATTTCTGAATTTATACACTGGGGTTTAAAGAGTCCAGAGAAACTGTACTTTAAAGGGCCCATACTAGTGTGTAAATCCCCCCCCCAGTATCCGGGGGTCCCATGTTGTCTGGCTGCTATCTCTCGCTCCATAGCAGCGCTGCTGATTCAATGTCAGTAAATGTTTGTTTTATCAGCTGTTCTTCTGTGAAGTCTCTGTTCTAGTGCGGTTCTGCGCTCTTCCTCACATTAACTGAGATCTTCCTCGTCTCCTCTTCTGTAGAGTCTCTGTTCTAGTGCGGTTCTGCGCTCTTCCTCACATTAACTGAGATCTTCCTCGTCTCCTCTTCTGTAAAGTCTCTGTTCTAGTGCGGTTCTGCGCTCTTCCTCACACTAACTGAGATCTTCCTCGTCTCCTCTTCTGTAGTCTCTGTTCTAGTGCGGTTCTGCGCTCTTCCTCTTCTGTCTTCAGTGTGAGAAATGAGGAACAGTCACTCTTCACTCCAAACTCTTGGGAAACTGGGCGAGTTTTCAGATTTACAGATCTGCTGCAGCTCATTGTAAAGTTTTTCAGAGGAATCCGGGCAGAGTTACAGTTTCTAGGCTATGAAGGACCAACTGGGTGAACCAGTCTGCTACAGCGCCACCCTGAGGCAGAGCAGTGCTGCAGCTCTAGTTAGTTAAGAACACCAGAGACAGAAGCTGATTGTGGGGGAAGCAGATAAACAATGAGCTTCACTCAGTCAGGATTTGAGGGTCTCTAACAGACAGCATAACATCATAATGCGTTCATTTTCAGGGACCCCCAGAATTTTGCAGTAGACACTGTATGGCTGTAGACTGGACTGGTTCTGTGTAAGTTTGTGTGTCTTTAGTTAAACCAGTTTCAAATTATCCTTTTTACTGATCTGGTTGCGCCACAGACCCTTCAGTCACACCAGAGTGTCACTGCTGCAGCATTTAAGGTGGACAGAAAGATTTTTGACACCACAGTGTAACTGCAGAACTGTTTAAGGTGGAACTGAAGATTTGTTGGGGCCATAATGTAACTGCTGCACTGTTTAAGGTGGAACGGAAGATTTGTTGGGACCATAATGTAACTGATGCACAGTTTAAGGTGGAACTGAAAAGTCATTGGCACCATAATGTACTGCAGCACTGTTTAAGGTGGAACTGAAAAGTCATTGGCACCATAAAGTAACTGCTGCACCATTTAAGGTGGAACAGAAAAGTCATTGGCACCATAATGTAACTGCTGCACCGTTTAAGGTGGAACCAAAAAGTCATTGGCACCATAAAGTAACTGCTGCACTGTTTAAGGTGGAACGGATTATTTAGTGGCACCATAATGTACTGCTGCACTGTCTAAGATGGAACTGAAAAGTCATTTGTACCGTAATGTAACTGATGCACTGTTTAAGGTGGAACGGAAATTTGTTGGCACCATAATGTAACTGTTGTCCAGTTTAAGGTGGAACAGAAATCGTTATATCCCGGAATCATCATGTGGTGCGGCCCGTTTTGATTTAGTAATGTGTAAACCTGGACTGAGCAAACACTTCCATTTTAACTAGCCTATATTTGAACTAATGTACAGCTGGTGCAGCCGGCCCTGGGTCGGACCCTCCCTTTAGGAACCACAATTATGGAAAATTAGGCAGTCAGCCATCATTAATAAATCATCAGTTACACTTTATGGTGAAAATCTGCCATCAGGATCAACACCAGTCAGTTCTGAGAGTCTGATGATGCTGCATTTAATAATTAGCATATCTTGCTGTGATTGGCTCACTCATGCAGATCATGCAAGGGGTTTTTGAGTGCTCATGGTTCTATATAGAACCATTTTCTTTATTAAAGAACCTTTGAAGAACCTTTTTAAGAGCGTAGCTATGCCATTTCACATCACTGGCTGTGCATCACAGTGAAAGTTTTAACATCATTATTAGCGTTTTAAAAAATGACAGATCGACAGAACTGGGTTTTCCATATTTATTGACAACAGACAAATACAGTCGAGGGACATACAGACGGTCAGTAAACACAGGGAATTGTGGGAAATGGAGTTTTCACTCCTGCTCTTTGTCCTCTCCGTGGGTGATGACGTAGCAGAGGTTCTTATAGTCCAGATTACCGGCCACGTCCAGAGGGAAGTTCGTAAACATCTGATTCACCTGGTCAGGTGGTTAGAAAAGAACGGTGGTTATTATCTGTGAGCTTGATTAAAGCGAGAGTTCAGCAGTAAATCTGATTTAAGCTAAATGTAGCCGATCAGCCAGGCAAAGTTTACTTCTTTAGTTTCAGCACTGAAGCTAAGAGGCTAATGTCGCTAACAAGTAATGGAACCTTATACAGTTAGCTAATTAGCACCAAGCTAGCACCACAGACCAGTTAGCACGGACGGGCTTGCTTATGTGGTGACATACTGTTAGCATGGACAGCATGCAGTTAGCACTACGCTAACTGGTGGGTATAAGCTCTCATTATTTATTAGCTACATTAGCCTCGTAGCTCCTGTGCTAAAGCTAAAGAAGCAACAATTCAGACACCAAACACGTCCTGGCTGATCTGCTACCTGCACACGCTTAAAAAAGATCGTTCTGCAAGGGTTCTTTAGTAAAGGCAATGGTTCTGTTTAGATCTATGAGTTTGATATAGAACCATTTGCATGGTGAAATGGTTCTTTGCATCAGACTGATGGAGACATAGCACCATAAAGGGTTCTTTTTTTGTTACAAGCTTGACATCATAACAATAGCAGAACCCTTTCCGGTGCTATATAGAACCATTTTTCAAAAGGTCATATACAGAACTGTATACATTATGCATTACACATTCTCTGTCTATTCTATTTGAGTGTTCATGATTCTATATGGAATCATTGTCTTTACGGAAGAACGCTTGAATCCTTCATC